AAAAAGTATCCAGGTCCTTTCTAAATGCTAAAAACATTTTCTTCAAAGACTCATACAGCCCGCTAGGCTCTTCCCAAACAATTTATTTGGACTATCTCATCTCTCCAAACTTTTGGAAAAACGAATACACCCGTATATTCGGGAAAGTACAATACTATTTAGAAAAATGCGGAATAGTCTTCGCCTCTTTTCTATTTGTGAAATTCATACTAGATTGCCTAGTATTCATAATAAAGGCTATGCATATTCACAAAATCACCGGCCGCTCACTACATTTTGGCAAAGTATTACTTGCCGCTTCATATAATATACTTTTCACTTCCATAGTGACCTCAATTTTCACTCAAGATGAGCAAACTGAAAAAATAGAACAAGAATGTGATCAGAAAATACAAGCCCCTCTTTTAGAGGAAATTGATAAAATAAACCAGGATCGTATGTATCCTCACATCCAATTAACAAGTTTTGAGAGAAGAACTCAAAACTTGGATCACCCAACAAACCCAGTCTAATAAAAAAATTCTACTGTTCTAGGATATACCAACTGATTCAACTATGAACACAACACTTGATGACGACTTGAGAGATTTTGAAGATCTTCTCTCACTCCTGCCACCAACCGATCCACTGGACTCGCAGATTTCAGCACTCACTCAACAACCAACTGTTTCTTCTACTACAACACCCACTGCAAAACCGACCTCAACACGATCCTTCGTTGAGCCACTACTTCAAACTAGTTCAGCTGTCCCAATAACTACAGCATCACAGCCACCACCCCTAAAAATTTCACCCCCTGATTTTCAAATACCCCTGGTTCCCTCGAATTCTAAAATTAAAAAACGGACCCAGATTGTAAAACCATATAAGATACTAACGGCAAATACGCCGGTATCAACTTCTCATTGTCCAATGACCATTAGGCGACAGCCCTTGCACCCCACTGAAATAAACACTAGATTACATATTCAGTTAGAAAGGGAACGATACATTAATTCTAAAAGCAATCCTGGCTTCGATATGGATCTCAATTATGCTTTGAATCCATTAATCAATCGTTTTAAAATAGAAGCTTATCACCCTATAAAAAAAATGTATTCCATAACTAATTCCCTTCTTGAATATCAAAAAATCTATGTCCCAGCAAAGTATCTGACAGCAAAATTACAAACCCCCCAGTTAGATGACTATACTGAGCAAATTCAGCGCAGTCATATCCATGAAACGCACCAAATCCGGGAGCTGAAAAAGCAAATCCACAATTTGAAAACAAAAAATCAACAACTTATAGCCCGGTTGGAAGGAAAATTGTAAGAAATTTATCCTTTTATTTAAGCATTTATTCTTTCGCTTTATATAGCTATGTAGTATAGCTATTAATTTCCTTTTAACAATTTTGACTTTTATAAAAAACAAAAAACACAAAAAATACCCCCTTTGTATGAACCAGTCCTCCCCTTATTACGCGTGTGGACAGACTTCACATACTTCAGGAAGAAAAGGAGACTTCGGAAAAAGAATGTTTAAGGAATAAAACTAACCTTCAAACTTTTGAGAAACAGATAATTTTGATGTATTTAATTTTATAGTTAAATCCCTTGGTTGTGTAAACTCTATTTTGATTTATAAATGTAACTGATGTGTTTATATTCATTCAAGCCTGACTCAAAGTATCAGTTGTTCAAAAACATCTGCTACCTGTAATACCAACAAACTATTGAACCAACTTTATGAGATTGAAAGAAAAAGCTTCGATTGATCAACAATTACCCCACTATTCAAGTAAAAGTAATAAAAATGAAAGTTTCAGTTTTTTTCCCTCTCCAAATAGGAGGATGGATATGTTCTGATTTCAAATAGAAACAGAAACATGAATTATTTTATTGCGTTCACAAAATGTGACGCCGCCGCCACCACCAAAAGAAATATGTTTTTATTCCCTTGCAAAAGGAAGGGAAATGCTATTGGAATAATTCGTATAACGTTTTAAGCATTGAGAATTGAAACGACTATTCTCATTCAATACGAATATTAACGATTCCTCTCGTAAAATACGAGCATACGAAACCTTCTTCTCGTAAAATACGAATGTACGAATAAAGAATACGAAGTTAAAAGAAACTTCTCATTTGATACGAAAAGTGGCGTGATTTCCCAATCTGAGTATAAATAGAAGCTCAAAACTACGGGAATTCATTCCAACAATATCTCTTCTAACACCAACACCACTCTCTTCTACCACCCCAACCAATCTCTAAAAAATATCTCTAATCTCACCGTTAAAATAGATATTGAGTCAAAAGGCAACTTGCTGTAAATTCATACTTCCTTCTTTTTTTAATAAAATATTTCTCAGCGAATTTTAGATTTACTTTCTAAGATAGAAAGTAGAAAGGACCCTTTATTCCTAGCAAGCGTTTTGTCCGACGTCTATAGTATTGCTAGCGTAATACTAGAAGCCTTGGTACTATTTGAGGACATCAATATCTGACCGATCAACCTTAAAATTATTCCGAAGGTAACTTCTCTGTGGTCAACGCTTTCTACAAAAAGTGCCCAAAGATGGCGTTTTTGGTGTATTGCTTTCTAAATTTGCCCGAGGACCTTTTTTGACAAAAATTACTTTTTTTTTGTTTCGGGAGGGCTCTGATGAAGTCAGTTTGGTCGTCTAAAAAATCGTCAAAAATAGAAATTCTGAAATAAAATTAAACTGCTCGCATGCTGAAAGTTGGAAGGAACTTTGTCTTCGGGTGTTTTATATTTTGGTTTTTTCTCCCGAAATTAGGTACAACAAAAAAATAAATTTGCGATAGCAAGTGTGGTGTAACCGGGTACTAGTTGCAACCTGAATAGTATTTTTCCGATATATTTGCGATTTAGCTTTCGTTTTTGTTCAATTCGTCGCTTTTGTTTACTTTAAGTCAGCTTAGTTTCCAATTTTTTAACAAGCTAATTACAATTCTTAGTTGAATGCGGCTCAATCAATTTTAATATTGAACTGTTTTACGACTAAATTTCCAACTTTTAATTTGCAGCTTTTGGTTTTTGTCTGTTGGTTTTTCTGCAGTTTTTCAAATTCACGTTAGTTTTTTCAGTTGATAGCTCATCGTTGTTGTTTTATGCTTTGACCACATAGTCAGTAGTGTGTTTAGATATTGAAAACCATATTTTCGGTGTGAAAAAGAACCCGACAAAAATATGCCTCAAATTTCGTTTTCAGCGCTTTCTTAGCAATTTTCTTTTAAAATTACCTAAAAATGAATTTCTTGTTCTGTTTGAGCTCTTTAATTTTCATTTTTCGAAAAAGAGTGTAGTCGATTGTGTCTTATAATCTAATTTTTTTGTCTATTTGCTCTCATCGCACCTCACACAAAACGAAGCGATTATGAAAAATAAAAAAAAATTGTGTGTCATATTAATTTAGTCGGAACATTCAATGCTTTTGGACAGCGCCCAGCTCTTCTTATTCTGGAAATATTTGGTTGAACGAAAAAAAAATCAGCTTTCGATCAGCTGAACTAGTTTACAAATTGTCCAAACATTCCGAAAATGCAACGCTCCAAATGAGTCAAAAGTTATCTACTCTTTTTTTTATATATATTTTTTTATTTTTCACTAATAACTCTTGACCGAAGCGAGGCATTCTCAGGCATTTACTATTCGAGGATATTTTTTGTTCTCGTGCATGAGACAAAAAGATGGCTTGAATAATCAAATTCACTTGAATTTTCTTTGTTCTTTGGTTGTGATAAAACAGAATGGTCGTTGATTACTTCTGCGGGCGGACAGAGATCACTCGTGTGTATTGAGCCATTAATGAAAAAGCTAAGTACTTTTCGATAGAAAACAAGATCGCATGCAGAGCCTTTTGAAAATTAATAATCGATACAAATCATATTTATTACTTAATTAGCTTCACACGTTAATAGTCAGTGACAGATTTTTCAAGAGATTTGTCGTCGCTTTTTGATTTTTGATAATTGCGATAAAAACTTGATTTAGTGAAGTAGCAGAGTTTTCTGTTGCTGTGATGATTTGACCAATTCGTCAACTATTGATAAAACGTTTATCTTTATCTTTAATCACTGAAATCTTTGCGCAGCTGTGCGAGAAAGTTATAATGGAATTGCTTTTTTAAGCTCAAAAATAGTCAGCGTTCTATCATCATTTGGTAATAAATCTGAATTGATCTTGTATTTAATGAGCAAAAACTAGATTGGTTTGTCTGATTTTTTGATCTTCTGAATTTGAAGCTTAGCTTATCAAATCAAAAATCAAACTTATAATTGTACCCCTTTTTCTCAAACGTCAGTATTAATCAAAATCTATTCAATTGTAAATCTTTCTCGCAAAAAAATTTTGATTTCAACTGATGCTAGCTTTCGAATTACTGATACGGAGATGAGTACAATTGTGTTCTCTGTTAACGGAAGGGTTTTTAATGTGTGTTCATATGCAAAATTGTTGACATCATTAGTGAACTCTAATTGGTGTTTTACCTTTTGTTTATTAAGTATTGAAAAAAATCTGGTTTTGGGCTTCAAATAAACAATTTTTTGTCAATGAAAACAAATTGCATTTAAAATTGAATTAAAACTTTTAAAAAATAAAATTAACTTGTTACTAATTATGATTTGTGAGAAGTACAAGTAGTGATTTGAAATGGTTGAGTTTTCATCATCGCTTTATGACCTTTTTGATTTTTCCCCACTTAACATAAACATCAATTTTTGGACCAACTATAAGCTCTCCACGGCTAAGTACGAAAACGCTATATGGTTGGAACTACTGAAATAATCGGCATGCCAATTCTTGTAACAAACGGATATTTCACAATTTAAATTACACAGGTGGGGGCAAGAAAAATATTTTTCTTTTTTTGAATTTTATCTGAACGAAGTGCAAATATATTAAATTGCGTCCAAAACCAATTTTTACACATTTCCAATTGTAAACAGTGTTTTTAAAACGTATTAGCCCCGTGACTTTTTTTGCTTCAGTGGCAGTTGGTGTCTTCTGAGGGCGTGTACAGAGTGTGTGACGTGAACAGTGTGAGTAGTCAGTCTTCTGGGAGTGCCTTGAACAACATTCTCTCCAAAGACTTCTCGAAGGACAATGAATCAACCAAGCTGCTTTTGGAGGCAGAGTAAGTTGTTTTCAGTAGCGCGCACAGGATTTTAACAAGCTCTACTGAATTTTTTGAGCCCTGTTGATATCATAGAGTGACCATATAGGCCAAAGTTTTCCGAGCAGTCTTGGAATTTTTTTGGCCAAAAAATAGTTTTTTTTCGGCGAGCGCTTCCCCTTCAAAATTAGTATTTTTTGGTGGCAACGGCTATAAAAAAAACTGGTAGCTATGAACTCTTTCTGCTCAAAATGGCAGTTGACGCCAGTGAAAACAATTGTTTGGGAAAAAGTTAGGTTTCGATTTGTTTTCTATTCAATTTTTTTTTCATTTCAGCTTGATGTTTTTTTTTAAAAACTGGTTTTTCCTGCAGTCTTTAACCGCGGAACCAACTGTGGCGCGCTTGTGACCTCTTGGCATTTTAAGAATAATTTACCAAGTGCTACTTTAACTAAACGACGGATAAATTGGAGTTTAAATTAGTATCAAAGTTAGTTGGACGTTTTAGTATTTAAATATCTGGCCTCATGTTTTTTGAAGAGATTAAGTTTTGCAAGGTGGCCCATAGAATTTAAAAGTCCGTCAATAATTACTCTCACTGATTTACAAAGTTACAAGCTATTCAATTTTGTATTTTAAAAATATTCTGTTTCACGATTTTTGAGTAATTTGATTTTAAAAGATTTGTAAATGATTTGGGTTAGTTTTTTTCAACAGGTTTAAAGTTTGGTAAAATTTTAGGATAGTGTTCTGTTTCAGATGTAGTTCGTAGCAGATGTAATTCCATTGATCTTCTGTTGATTATTGAAGTGCTTTTGAAATTTATCAAATGATTCTTTCTCGCGCGAAAAAAATATCCTCAAAACAACATGTGTTACTGGCCCCTATATCTTTTTGAGATAACCTTGTTTGGATAGGGAAAAAAGTTTCATTTTCCAAATAACGCTATCTTTGAGACGTATAATTTTGTTAGCACATCAAGAAAATAAAAATAAGATGGTGGAATAATTTGAAATTGTCTCCTGAAAAAGTTTTTGATCGCCTTTCTTTTTTTTCGCTTTGATGAGGCGAGTCGATAGAATTCGAAAAAAAAAATTAAAGCAAAAATCAATTTGGGGCTTTTGCTCAAAACTTTCAATCTAAGTTTGGTTGATCAGTTAGCGGTTTGTTTTGTCGAATTATCCTCAAGAAAAGCTGTAGAAGAATTCAATGTTTTTCTTATTAAAAAGGTTCTTATTGTTTCTAAATTTTTTTTCAAAAGATTCAAAATTGAGCAACTCGTAGATTCGATTTTTATTATCCATAAGGTTGATTAGATTTTCGAGAGCTATGTTGAGCAGATAACTGTTAATGTAGAGCTAGCTTGTAAGTTTTCTTGCGGTTTTGCAATTCACTTGTATAAAACTTCATGTGTTCTGTGGTTCAAGGACCACTTGTATAGACCAACAAGAACATTAAAAATGTACCAGATGAAACAAAAGATTAGAGGTTAATATGAGATAATTTGGCTGAACAAAAACTCAAAATAATCTTTTAAAAATGAGTTGTAGAAGATAATTTGTTAGTTTAATGACAAGACCACTACAAATTTATACCAAGCTTTTAACGTCAGTTAAAGAGTTGGACAGTGTACGGACTGGGTTGTTAATGAACTAACTATTTGCAAAAGACGGCTCTACTGCAAAAGGCTACGTTATAACGAAGAGAAATGACCGTGCAGTTTTTTATGCTCCGACTGATCTCGGAGAATGGGAAAGAGTTGGTTTTTCCCGACCCGTCTTAGATAGCTTGCATAAATATCGTAGAGGGCTATCTTATTGGAGCAGTTAGCAGTGGTGATTTGAGTTTGGAAAGATATTACAAACACTCCTCGTCGAGGAAAACCAATTTGTTTTTTTTTTGTATTCAAACTTTCTCGTTTGGTCTTCTAGTCTAAATCTGCGGAAATGAAAAGAATTTTTTTCTATTGCTATATAAAGCGAGAGAAAAATCAGAATCAGTCGTTTTTTGCCTTAACTTTTTTAAAAAGCTTATTTATTGATTCTTAGTTTTCGGTTTTTCAATTTAGAAGAAAAAAATACTGAGGACAGGAACATTATGTAATATTTGCTCGGCAACTGGCTCATTTTTATTCGTTTTGTATATTGTAGAGGTTTATTTATAACCATTTCACGTGGTTTTCAAGTGGACAGATACGTTACTAAACTGTTAGCTTTCTCAGTTTGCAAGTGTTGTTTTTTTTATGTTTTAGTTTGCAAATCACGCCATGCAAAGATCTATCTAAAGGTGGTCCAATCGGTTGCAAAGAACAGGTTAAAGTTGACGTTAGCTATTCGGTCTCGGATAGCCCCGAAGGACAGAAGCAGAGTCTAGTTCTCGAGTCGGATTTAAACGTAATCAATATCGAATTTCCACCCGGTGTGACCGAATATACGATTAGGTTAATAGACGAAGGTGTTTGCGCCAAACTCCTGTCTTTCAAAGTTGCCTGTTTTGTATGTGAGTCGCAAATTGATAACTTGGTTCAATTCAAAGAAAGAGTCGCGAGCGGTGATATGGTGACGACTGAAGAAATATGTGTAGATAATGCTATCAGTGAAAAAGCGATCAAAGGGTTTTGTTTTGAAAGCGGTGTCTGGAAGAAGCAAGATCGCACTACATGTCAGTGTAAACCTGGGTTCGAACCCAGCCCGGACCTGAAATCTTGCTTGGCGTGCGGAGTTATGATGTACAAGTCGGAAACATCGAACGAAAATTGCAGTGCTTGTCCAGCGAATTCGGCTACGAAAAGCTATTCGACTGGGAGAGTGAGATGTGAATGTGAAGACAATCATAACAGAAGAGACGAGAACGATGCTTCACAACCTTGTTTGCCCATGCCCAACAAACCCAGGTAATTGAATATGACAACATTTTATACTCTCAGGCAGAAAGTATTGAAATGTTGAATCTCATTCCCCCTCACTCCTACAGTATTTAGTATTTTGTAAAATAAAAAAATGGAAAAAGGTTTTTAGTTTTAGGCACCTTTTAGAAAATTTTGATGAAAAATTTTGATTAATTTTGATTAAGGAAAGTTTTTTGCCCCCCCCCCCCCCCCAAAGTATATTTTGTGGGGGGGGGGGGGGGGGGGAGGGGGGCAAAGTGTCAGTTAGCCTAAAATGGATATCTCAAAATAGTACAAAGGGTCCGCCGACCCACTCCCCTAAATCCGCGACTGCTCATGAGTGAGTCTAGTAAAAGTAAAGAAGTAAGTCTAGCAATAATTTTAAAAAGTGAGTGAGTCTAAAAATAAAGTGAAAATAAAAGAGTAAAACGAGATACAAAGCTGAGATTTCAAAATTAATTTTTCTTAATTTGTGAAAGAAAATTAAATTTTTAAAAAATGCCATTTTTTGGTTTTTCTTTTTTTTTCTTTTTTTTTATTGTTTGGAACTTATGGCTATGAGTATTTTGATCTGAAGGGTTAGAAATACTTGCACACAGCCTTTTGTTATTGTTATGTCGTATTCATCTCAAACGAAGTTTCAAATTTGAAATGTTTCAGTTTCCAGTAATGTATTCTTACTTCTACTCGTAGTTGTGCTTTGAAGTTGGGCTCATAAAAATTTACTTTGCTGCGTGAAACTCAAATGTTTAATCTTGCTAATAATTTCCCACTATACACCTTTCAAACTTTTCCCAAGCTGTTCTTTGAAGTTAAACCACCAAAATTGTTTGGTACTTTGGTTTATAAATATGAAGCTACAATACATGCAGTTTTGAAGTTGGTATCATAATAAGAGATAACTTTGTATCCAAGTATTAAAGCCAGACCAATTCCACTTGACTGTGTTTCAAATCCACCCTGCTTGATCCCCTTTGCTAAGACGTGGACTGCAGGCATTGATAAATATCTCAGGGCAAATGACTTTCCTAGCTGAAATTACCGAAAGCCCATTTGGCGATAGAACATTTTTCTTGCTTTTTTAAGCTTTTGAACTATCGAAAAGTTTTAATTATCAGTGAAAAATCAAAATTGATAGAAATAGTGCTGAAAAAAGGAAATGACTTTCTTGGAATCTTGAGGTTTAATATTTTGTAATACTGGTGTTTCGGTTGTCTGAACTTGTTAGCAGTTTTAAAATGAGCAAACTGTTTTCCCTTTGCTTGGGTTAGGAATGCTTTCTTTGCTGTCTTTGCCGTACTTATTCGAGATTAAATGTCAAAAATAACTATAAACCGACTACAAAACATTGCCCAAGCCCCGTCTAATTTGCCAAGCAAAAGAACCTCCAACAGAGTTGGCAGTTAAAACAATTTGAAAGTCTACCTTCAAATGTCGATAAGCTTAATTGAGTTCTAGAACGAATGTTGTTGTCAAGAATCAGACGTTAGGGAAATTTAACTTGAAGCTCTTCAACAAACGAGTTTTAGCAAAGCTAAAAACTTAAAACTCAATTTTAACAATTTCAAACTAACGTAACAATAGTATTCAATGATTTTTTTGACTTCAAAATTTTAGTTTCTTGTGATAAAAATTTTTCCTACGCAGCACGAAAAAGGCGAATAATCAATTTTTGATTTAAGTTTTGACTTCAGGTTTCAATATTTGTTGTATTACATTCATTGAAAAATAAGCTTTTTTTAGAAACCTGAAGAGCACTTTTGCCACCCACAGTCAAATAGAGCTGTCCTGGAAGACCCCATATTCAACATTCTACAGACCAACCGAGTCAGATTTACAGACAGACTTTCTGTCGTACAGTGTCAACTGTGAAGCCCCGAGCGAACACTGTTTCGGCTTGCAGCACATTCGCACAAATGATACTCGAATTACAATTGAGAATCTAGTGCCCTCTACGGAGTTCACGTGGAAAGTGTGCTCGGAGAATTCGGTCTCAAAGGGGGTGCAAGAAGAGATAAATTGCGCCAAAGTTGTCGTCGCAACGCTGCAAAGAGGTAAAAATGAAAGAGTTCATTGAACGAAGTACTTATCACTTATTAAGGTTGTGTTGATTTTTTTTCGGGAAAATTCTGTCGAAATTGGTAATCTGGCTCTTTTTATCTTTCCCCACCGAATTTTTAAAAATAAATTTTTGTTCACGTTGGTTTGAAATCAAAATTCTCATGCGGGTTTAATAAGCCATAACAAACATAATTTAACTTCATAATCAATCTTTTAAAACCACTCGTTATACCGTAAATCTTCGATGATTATATGCGAAGTGGGATCGAAAAGAAAAAACTGATAATCTTGAAAGGTTTTTGAAATTCGAAGGGCTTCATCTTGATTGATATTTATTGTTTCCGGAGTAAGAAAGTTGAATAATATTCGAAAAAATCCAACATTTTTGTTTTTGGTTTACTTGAGTTCATTGACACTTTTCCCACTGTCTGTTGCCCATAAACATTTAATTAATAGCCAACTACATTTTAGGGCATGTTTATTGCCTTGTTAGTTTGTTCTTATCATCTTAATAGTTGTTAGGTGGATTTGATTGAAAAAATTTCATCATTTAAAAAAATTATTTGACCAATTAGTTGATGTTTGTTGCTTCGAGCTTGCTTGCGTTTGTCACTTCTATTGAAACCAATTTTTACCATAATGTAGTTATTATTTCAACTTCACAACGGCAGCTCAATCTTTTGATTTATGATGGCCCGAAGAAAGGATACAGTTATCTATTTGTTAATGTTCTCGTAGATCTTTTGATCTTTGAAACCTTTTATAACTCTCCGACATTTTTATTTTCAGATGTTTTTTCTACGACATTTTTTTGATCATTCACTCTTTAAAGTCTTCACATTTATGACTCAAAATGGGGCTCTGTTTTGATTTCTTGATGAGTGGTATAATTAGCCAATTTCTAGATCGTCCAGTTTTGCATGTTTTTTCTGGGCAATTTCTGCTACAAAATTTTTATTAACAAGGATAGCCGGCTTCTGTACAAAAGGCACATAATAATCCGACCATTTTATTTAAAAAAAAACATGAAAAATTCATGAACATTTTTTTTAAATGTTCGTTTTCATGTTTTTTATTAAAAAACAAACCTTTTTTTCAAATTAATGATGTTTTTGTCCGCAGTGTGATAATAGAATTTGAATAAAAGCCTAGAGAGTAGACCTATTCGAAAGGCATTGTAAAATTGGCAAATTGGACAACAGTTTTTGTCGAAAAAAAAACTAGAAAGACAAAAAAACTGTAACAAAAATCCAGAAATTTTTGGAATATTTGAAGTTTTTTTATTCTCAAGGTAGCGCTGAAAAAACATCGAAAAATAGTTTTACTGGCATTTTCAATGATTACTTTTGGCATTTGATTTTTTGCGGGAAAAAGGGGAAAAAATTAAAACCGAATACAAAGTTTCTCCTCATTTTCAATGGTCGGAAAAATGAGGAAATACATAAAATTATCAATTTAGCTAAAATTTTATCGTATGTTGAGAGGGTAGCAGACGGCCCACTCATGACTAATTTTTCCAAAGCGTTTTGAATTAGTTCTAACAATCACTAACTAAGAAATAGTGTAATGACACTGGCTAAGTGTCTGCACGTGTACTTGTATTTGGAAGTAGTGTGACTATTTTATCGACAGGTGGCCCTTTTCAATCACCACTCGATAGTATTTAAGTCAAATTGAGAGCTGCCAATCAAGCCTAAAAGGCAGATATACCACGACAGTCACGGGCTTTATTAACGTCCATTTCTTACCATAGTTTTGATACAATAGTGTCTTTAATCTCAATCATGGAGCAGAATCAGTTGCTGGCGTATTCGCTTGACTTGTTTTGCTTTAGTGAAATTTTTGACATCAATTTTTGACAATCTGATTTAAGCATTACGAAATTGCTTTCAAAATATCACACATAAACTTAGGACCGTGAAACAAAAGACCCTCCAAATCTTAGTAATACAATAGGTAGTGTTTTTGAAGGGTAGTTTTCAATTTGAATGACATTTTTTTGTAAGTGCAGATGATTTATGAAATACTGATTAAGATTTATAAGCTTTATTTCGTTTCAGTGACAGTTCAAGATGTGAGACTGGACTCAACTGAGCCCCACAAACTGCTGCTGTACTGGACTGAGCCGGATAACATCCGGGACTCTTCCCAGGTGAAGGGGGGCAACTCCTACTTAGTCAGATGTACCAGTGCGGCCATGCTGGATGGGGCCGGGGACAGAATGGTGAATGGAAGTAAACATTGTAGAAACAGAATGTGCACTTTCCCCATTCCTGCATGTGAGTTGAAAGTCTCGTTTCAAAAACATTTTAAAAAACTTTTTTTTTGTCGGTACTACGCTCAAAAAAGGGAAGGAACATTGGCCTAGGTTAGATTTTTGTCCGTGCTTCAGGTACTGATAGTGTATGGCGCATTTCAAAAATGTCATCATTTTGAAGTTTTTTTGGTCATGATCTCGATTCAAAAAAGATGTCGTAAAAGATATCTCAAAAAAACTAGATCAATATTTTTTAAGAAAAATTATTTTAAAAAATGTTGTTTGAACAAGTGAGGTGAGCTGTAGTTCTTAGATAATTTTTGTCTTTATATCCATCTTTAAATAGATAAATATGTTATCTTTTTTCGATCGCCCAACTTAAGTGACGTACGAAAGTAGAACTAGTTACTTTACTGGCAAGAAGTCACTTATGCAAAGTAATATTGTGAGATTTGATAACTTGTTTAAAATCTGCAAGACTGCTCCCAGCTTTCAGTTTATTTCGATAAAACGGCATCCTCGGGGCCATTTTTGGGCTGCACTGTGTAAATTTTCCTTGTTTGCTGTAGCGCTGCAGATAATACCTCTGCTTCTTTGCTTATATTGGGACTTATCAACCCTTGGGATTTAACTTGGGCTGTAAAAAGTTAGGAGGCTATTGTTCCGCCAGATATTTGAGATTTTTAACGCCCTCGCGAGGGAAGATTTGGCTTGGAAGTTAAGTGGTTGTTGATTTACTCTGATGATAAAAGCGGGAATATTTTGATTGATCGCAAGACTTTTGATTCGGTTGCAGTTTACAATAAAGGGAAGAATTGAAGCAGTATCAGCATTTCATTGAAAGCATTCGTTATTCTTTTTTTCTCGGTCAAAATTTTTTTTATAATTAAAAAATATATTTTAAAAATAAACATTTCAGATCAAGTATATCTTGTTCGGGTATGATTTATCTGCATGCATTTGTTTATTTCTCAAGTTCTCATGAAGATGGTTAATTATTATTAAATGTCGTAATCATTATCTTTGATCATAATTGTTCCCGTTTTGAGACAAGGATGGGCTCAAAATTGAAATCATTTTTCAGAAGCCATTGAGTCCTATATTTTTCCAATTTCACTTATTGAATGATTTTTTACGGAGAAAATTCAAGTTATAGGTTCTCAAGAAAATTTTAATGGCCTATTATTTGTAGTATCTTTGATCAGAAATATGCCGATTTTTAACTAGAAGTGGGCTAATGTTTGGGAAAAATAGATCTTTTGAAATACTCAACTAAGGCTTTTCCAGCCCTCTAATTATCATATTTCCTTTGTAAAGATTGAGCTTTTAAATACTTCCTAGGCTTTGAATTAGTTTGCTTTTTTTCCGTACTTAAAAAGGATAAAACATTACAATTGCATCCGTGTTTATAATAAGACCCAGGAGTATAAATACTTACAGGAAAATCCTATCTTTTGTTTTCAAATGAGCACTTTTTTATTCAAAAATAATTTAAGTATTTTTTTAACACTTCTGCAAGCAAATGATCAGAAGAATGTTAGAAATTTAAATTTCAGAGATAATGGAAAATATGAACAAGGCTTCCGTTTAACGGGTCGAAGCCTAAAAATTATGCCAACTGTGCTGAAATTAGATATAAACGCGATTTTCTTCATCCGTAACTCAGTCGCGTCTTAGAGTTGAGTTTCAATTAAGACTAAAAATCTGTGATGTTAATATAGCTTAACTTAATCTAAGAAATATTAAATGGGAAAAATTGTCAGTCACCTTTCAGATAATTAGTTTGGTAGCAAAATAATTTCATAAGTTTAATTAACCTTTCGGTTTTCTGTTTTTCGGGCTTCCAATTTCTGACAGGAAATAATAAATTCAAGTGATGCCTTCTGTATAACGTGGTACTTGAGTTCATTAAAAGTCAGCTTAGCTGGCGAAAATAGTTCATATATATTATTTTAGCTCGTCCTCATTTTGTAGTGCAATAACCCAACAAAGCTTTCGTTTGTGTACGGAAATTAAAGTTGCTGCGTTTTTTATTGATTACCAGCCTATAACTGATATAAATACTAACTTTTTCTAATGTGACGCGTCAACTGCGCCAATTGTATTCAGAAAAGAGTTCCATAGAACGAATACAAATTGATTCACAAAAAGTTTTTGCTCGCAAACGCTCAAGCTTACAGCTTATGATTTGTGGTTACTAATTTTTCCGTTGAAGTTGAAGGTGGAATATATCGGTGACCCTGAGCATCTAATTGGTCAAAAACTATTGCGTTTTAGGATAAGTTAGTTTTTTTGGCACTAGTTTGATTTGTTGAAATGAGTGGAAAATTGGTGTTTGGCGTCAAAGTGAGCAGTTTAAGGTTTATTTTTTGATCCAAGAGAATTTTGCCGACGATGTGGCCTTCCCTACAATCGATAGATTAGTTTTTATTTTGATACTATTTTTGGGTTTGTGTTTCAGCTATGCCTCCAGGAGAGTACTACTTCAAAGTGGGAATTGGAAACCCGCCAGTGTTCTCAGAACCCACACTCGTTACCATTAGCTCAAGTGAGTAGTCAATTTACCAAGAGACCAATCATCCGAAAAACTGAAAAGGATGTGGACGGACAATCATCCAAATTATGGTGAACATCGTTTTTAAGAGTCGATGAATGTATTTCAGACTTTTGAATAGGTTGCGATTTTTTTCGTTAAAATCTTAAAATTTGTTCAGGTTCAAATCGATTTTTCGCGGTTTGACTTACGATTTATTTTCAAGTTCAGTTCAGTTCTTTTGTTAAAAGTAAAGCAATTTCCATTATGGAACAGCCAAAGTGTAAAAGTCACAAAAAACGTGATCGTATATATTCTAGTTTCGAAAGCCTATGTTCTGAAACAAAGGCTAATCACAAACTTTGAGCCCCTCAACGATCCTCGCTTTTTCATGAAATCCTATGTGTTTAACTTTTTCAGGTATTTGTGGTTATATTTGATTTGGCAAATTTGTCTTCTCGTTTTACTCAATTCTTAATTCAGCCGAATCAACTTGACTGAGAATTCTTGTCGGTTAAATTAGGCATTTGAAACTGAGTAACCAAACTAAACCTTATCAAGACTGAATAAATTTGAAATGGTTCAGCTCAGTTTTGAATGATCTAAATAAAATCAGAAAAACAAATAATTCTTATTAAAACACAGTCTGATTTTCGTTTCATTTCGTCCATGACTGAAGTTGAAGCTTAGCCATTCTTTAGAGAGTTTGCTTGTCAACATGTGTCCTTGTCTGATTAGGTACTCAGCAAACGTCCCAAAGGATCAAGTGTCGCAAAAATAGTTCACGACCTCGAGATTTGATTAAGAAATACTTGTTTTGAATTGGAAAATATCAAATTTTGTCTTGGATAATACTCGTGGAAATTTCTGATTTTTTTTATAGTCGATTAATCAATTTGTTTACTGGTCTAAAAAAAAACAAATTAAGAATTTTCGCATACTTGGATTATATGGAAGCTTCCACTGGAGTTTAATTTAGCCTGCGAATAGCAAGTTTTTGCAACTCCAAACAGGTTTTTTCCGTTTTAACAGTTTGTTTAACAACATTATTTGAGTTGTTTAGTCGGCTCTGTGACTTAACAAAAGACATATTTGAACATGTTTGCGTTTTAAATACCCTTTTTGAGTTCTTTTTAAAAAAAAAATTGTTGGTTGTTAATTAATCAAATTAGTGTTGGTCTATGTCAGTTTTTACATTTATTTGCTTCGTTCGGTATTAAAGCGGTATCAAATCGGAATATAGACTTTTTCAGGTTAATCTTTTGTTTAACAAAAAAATCACTTGAATCATTAGCGGCTCTCCATAGCGGCTTTTCATTTTCTGTCGGCTAGCTTGCCATGCTTTGTATCGCAAATGGTGCGAAGCTCTGTTTCGCCTCTGTATCACACATTCTTGAACCGTGTTATAGTAATATAGCATTTTCTGCTGTAAAAATTGACAAAACCAAGGTTAGAGGTGAAAAAAGTTATCCCATAGAATTATGCTAATTGCCGCATTATGCTAACTGATACGAACGAGTGAAAATTTGAGCAAACTCTGATAAACAGCAGGTGCTATATCCTTCGGGTGAAAATGGGACGTCTATTTGTTCTGAATTTTTGCCAAGTAAACAACCAGGCTGGGATGCCAGGGAATTTATTCAAATATGCACAAAATACAAACAGATCGAATATTTTTCCTAAAAATACCAGACGGTTTGGTTTGTGTTCTCAGTTGTAAAATTATCAGCAAACTTATTCACCCATTTTTTTAAGTTCAAATTAATGTCTGAATGAACTGAAAAATAAAAATAAGCTTAATACTAAATGAAGGCCGATTTTTGTAGACTTTTAGTATTCTTGGTCATGGGTTCTTTTTTCTTGCTAAAGTGAGGCAATAAAAAGTGTCTCGTAAATTTTAGCCCAATCCAGGTCTAAGAACAACCAGGACTTTTTCAGAATAACCGTCGAGGTTAATTTATGATCCCATTAAGAAACTTAATTTAGCAGCCTGTAAAAACGTCACTCTGGGTAATGCTTGTGGATTCATTTCCCAATTATCCTGAAAAGTTGTACAGTTGAATAGGTTACACCCGTGAAAAGATGGGTATTAACAAGGGGGAGGGTAAGAATGAGAATGAAAGTTTCGTTTAAAACACTAGTTTTATTTGACCTTCATTTTTTTTATCATTTAATTCTTTCGAAATGATTGAGATTACAACTTTAGTGGATGTGCTCCGTAATTTGGGAGTTGGTTCTTGTCACTTTTCATAATTTTTTTTGTTTTCCCGGTTTTTATTTTTGGTTTGTAATGTTTTCGCTAAGGACGCTTGTATGACTTGAAAACTGCGTTGAAGATAAGTTACAAATAATATGCAACTAGTCTCTTTTGGCATACAAATGTTTAGTTGAATATCAATTACGCTTTTCTTTTTCCATATATTATCATGGATTTTGTTAACTTACCCCCTTCCCTTATTGAAATACAAAGTATCAATTTTGTATATGCTTAACCATTTAGTTAGTCCTTAATATAGGGATGGAAATTATTTAAATGTAGGATCCAACTTTTTTTTAAAATTTAGATCTTCCGGTTAGCGAGGAAATCAGACGTCTGATGATTACTGTGGGACTACTTTTTGCAGTTCTTCTCATGATTCTAGCATCTTGCATTGCAATATTCTGCTGCTGTAGACAGAAAATCGACCAAACTCACCCTCGATTCGCCAAAGGAGCACTGTCGCCTAATTTCTACGCCGAACAGTACACCACTATAGCGCCGCCAACTATGCATGAATGTGAGTGTTACTTTAGCTTAAATTCAGCAGTTATCAAAGACATTTTAGTTCAAATTTAGACAGGCTAATTCAAAACAATTAGTGATTTTAGCGACTTTTTTCATCTATCTAAGTATTCAAAAAAATCCGCAGGGGTTCAATTGAGATGATTTTTCTCTGAGTGATTGTTTTTCTGGCCTTCGTTGTGAGTAGAACACATCAAATATTAACAGTTGGCATATGTTAATGTTTTTTGAACTTTTCATCCTTGAGGCGATCAAGTCGCGATTTTGTTTTCATGCTTAGCTGGTCTTCTGTTTTGTAACAGCGATTACCAACCGAGACAAAAGTTGGCAGTATTAACTAAATATGAATAAAACATCGTGTTTTTCTATTTTGATAGATCTTCAGTTTGTTATATATAACACATTAAGACTTCGCACAATTATAAAAAAATTTGCGCAGATTTTAAGCATGCTGTTTAATCTCAAATGGGCTGGAGGACCTAACAAAGAAAGGTATAATAAAGTGAAGGGCCATTTAGTTTTCAAAGTTAAATCTGATTGTTGTTAATGAGGCAGAATTTGATTTTTCGGTTCAATTATTTTCATTCATGATTTTCAGCGCATTGATAACACTTTTCTCTGAGTCGTTCGTCTTTGCACAGATATGCTAAATTGCATATTTTTGGTCCAGTTTATTGTTATAATCTAAACGAAAATTGAATTTTTAGCACAACTTGGTAATAAAATTGAATTGATCTTCAGTCTGATGAAGGAGCCGAAACCACGTCTGATTTTCGATCTTCAATTTGTCAAGCTTGAAAATTTAAAGCTTGTAGATTTAGAAGCAATCATTCGAGGCGGACTACTTGAAGCGCTCGAACTTTGACTAAGTGTAAAAGAACGAAGTCGTTCTTTTTTTCAGGAAGAAGTAAAATTTGTTCATGCTCAAATTTAATTTTTTTGCGGTTTGACTTTTGATTTCTTGTTAAGTTGAGTTAATCTCCTTTGTTAAAATGTAAACAAATTCAACAAATTTATCATACGTTTGTGGTCTGAAGCTGTAGCTGATAAAATTCGAGCCCGTATGACCATATTTAAGATTAAATTGGTAGTGGTACGGGGGTTTTCGCGGTGAATTGAAGCCTAACCATTACCCCAAAACCATTAGTCCAGGGGATTCAGGTCAGGACTTGGGGCGAGCCAAAGAGTTTAAGAATGGCGACTGATAATGGGGTCAGAAAAAAAACCGTCTGTAGATATTGCAATACTGCGGGGATAGTTTGGCATAATGCGCCGTCTTGGAATCAAAGTCTCCTGATATCTCGGAGGTGCTACACAAGGGGGTATACTTGATCCCTTAGCATGTTAAGATAAACTATCTGGTTGACCGTCATTGCTCTTGCGTTCTCATCTCTGAAACAGAAAGGGCCTATGATTTCGCCTTGAAAAAGGTCAACACCGAACTTTATTTTAGTTTTGCCTTGATATCGCGTTTCTTCGAAATCACCAGAGTTGCAACGCGGTCAAATCCGCTAATTTTGACTATTCTACTCTGGGTTCATAACCTACCATTTTTGTCACTCCAGAGAACTTTGAAGTGAAAGTCTTGGTTCTGTGATAAAAACCACAAGCAAAACGTTTCTCTCATTTCGTTCTGATATTTTATGCATTTTTTTTTCACTTTGTATGAAAAAAATTTCTCAAATTTTGCCCCACAATCCGCCATAAACTGTTTTAGGGGATATCGAATGTTTCTCTGTTGTGATTTGTCTCAAAAGACTAACTGGGAAACGTTCCCACTCGCGTTAAAATCTGCTACGATAAACTTGCTTTTTTGCCTCCCCAGTATTGCGTATTCTCCGAAAAAAGCGCGCAATCTTAAGCAAACTGGCAAATTATTCCGAATGCTCTTTATAGAATTATTAATGGTGCAGGTAATTGAGTTACAAAATTTTTGACATTTGTTCGAAATTTTTTCTTTTTGACAAAAAAAAACGATTTTTTTTTGGTTTGTCTGTTCATTTGCACTTCAACATGGTGATTCATTTTTGTTTCGCATGTGGTGCAAAGCTCCACTTCGCGTCTCTGTAATTTTTTAAAAACAAATAAGTTAACGGATTTATGTTTCAGACTCGTTTAAGACCACATCAGGAGGTGGGGGGTTTGGCGGTGCCTCGTCTTTCGTGGAACCCTGTCTCCACCCCGACCCCGAATCGCTCCTCGCAAAGTACACACGGGAACTGAATGAGCATCAAGTTTTGTGCAACTACTACAAACTAAAAGGTAACGGACATAACTTATCTTCGTGTGGAAGAATCACAGCACTGATAAGCATTTTAAACTGCAATTTAGTTTAGTTTATTGCCTGCATTTAAATTGTATATGAATTTTTTAATTGCTCATCACTGGCTTAGAAAAAGAAAATATCTCACTTTTAAGTAGCAAACATGGATTCCAATAAAGTTTCGTATTATCTCGAATTCTTATCTTCTGAAACTCCTTACTCCTTTTGTATTTTTTAAAAAGAAATATGGATCTGAAACTTAAGCATTAAAAAGTCATTTTAACCAATTTGTGATCCTAAGTTCCAACTTGCTGATAAATTTAAATTATAAAATCACTCTCAAAAATTCGAATTCTGAAAGAAAGATGTCTCTTTTTTTCATGCATCTATAAGTTGTCCAATAGAGTTTCAATAATTAATTAATTATTTTGAGTTATGGGTTCTATTTAAAAGGTTGATTTTGAAGCGTCTAATTTTGAAGATTGACTTCATGATCATTGGTGAGAACATTGAAATGAGTCTAACATAGTTATGTTTGCTTGATTTGTCTTCCTGTTTCTCTAAAAAACATGTGCAAGGAAATTTGAATTCCATCGTTTCCATGCCTAAATGTCTTTTTAGCAGAATTATGTACTTGTGTTAGATGCACTGCTATCGATCGTCAAATGTAAAATATGCCCGGTTTTATTAGTTGAATAAAACGCGAAGGTAGATTTTATTAAACTTGCTCAAATTCTATGTAAATTAGGAAAATATAGATATTTGTGTGTGTGTCTTTATTTTCTAGTCTCCATTTTCAATCTCTCGGAACTTCAATTCTGGGGCCGAGGTTATATTCTTTGTAATCACAGGTACCAAAGCGCTGTTGTAAGAGGGGATTAAATTGTCTGTTTTTATTTCGGACGGATCCCAACTTAAAACAAACACCATTGCCGCCTTAAGAGAGATAAGCCTGAAATTTTGAGGTGAATTCTTTTGTCGGTCGGGCTCTTAATATTTTGGTATCTTTCGACAAGATTTTGCAATGAGATATGAACAACTTTGCTTAGTTAAAATTACAATGGGTTTTAATAAGTTCAAAGAGTAATTCAGAAGTCGAGTTAATATTGAAGTGTGGAGGTTTTGAAAATATAATTTTTTTTTATTTTGAGACTTTTAAGCTTCAGAGCAATCATTTGATTTTGCGAATTGATCAAATAACCAATTAATTGTGTTTTTTTTTTCTATTTTCCGCGTAATTTTTTCTCAGAAGTTGCATAAACTACCCAACAAAACTGCGTGTGAACCTTTTTTCGCATATATTTATATACTTAATTTTCGTTTCAGGAAAATTCAACGAAGCAGTTGAGCTCGGAACATTCTGCGAGGATAACTCGGAAGTCAAAATCTCTGTGGGGCTGCAACACTTTGTGCCTCTGGAGACGACGAGTTGCGGAGGGGGGAGCAGTGGAATGGGGGGAGGCGGGGGAGTAGAAACTATGTCGTTGAATGGGTGTGTTATTTTGTACTTGATACATAATCAAGTACTTATATGATTTTTTTGTGCTTAATCAAGTGCAAAACATAAATTTCCGTTAGATTCGAGTGATTATATATCGTATTAAAGCCGTTTCAAGCGTGAATCAATTGATATTTATAATTTGCCGAAAAGGTTTGTGTCGAGACAAACCAGTTGGAAAAATTTAATGTGAAGATCTCGCTTTAAGCTAAGATAAGTTCAAATGCTTAATTAATTTTAAGAGTCGCTGAACGTAGTGAAGACTCGTTTATAGTTCGTGATGATTTTAAGTGTTTTTTCTTTTTTTTCAGGAAAAGCCTTAAAATTGTTCAGGCTCAAATTTACTTTTTTGCTGTTTGACTTTAGAAGTTCAGTTCTTTATTTAAAAAAAGGCAAATTCTACTTTCGAACAGCGAAAATGTAAAGGTCACGAAAAATTTGATCGACTTTTAGTTTCGAAAGAGGAATTTAATTTTCAGATTTTCCTGCGAAATAAAAACTTTACCTATTAATCCAGTTTTCTCAAATTGGGTTAATTTTATTTAAAATGCGCCAAACATAAATTGATCTTGAAACGTAAAAAGCTTTAAGTGCATATGTGTTTTTTGAAATTCGCAAGTTGTTGGCTATGTTAAGTATTTGTTAACGGATCATTTGATTTTTGTTGTAAGTTTGTTCTCAATTCGTCTCCCTTCACGAACAAAACAAACGATGAAAATAATGGGAGGGGTGAGTGAAGCTCTGCAGCTTTTGATTGTTACATTTGAATAAATCAGTGTGCGAATAATGGGTCAAAATTATATCACAGCTCATTTCATAGCGGCGAAGACTGACGATTACTATGAAACGAACTCTGATTTTGTGAATCGAAGGTAATTTGAACGGCAAAACACCGACGAATTCAAGAAATTGTTGCTTATAAAACAATTTTGTGATGTTTATTATTATTTTTGCAGATGTGCTGATTTGGACCAGTATAATCATCAGACAAGACGGGAGTTGGTGGTCGCGGCTGCCACCTGTGCCCAGCTCATTCACCCCAATGTTCTCAGTCTGAATGGATTCGTCAAACGAGGTGGGGGTAATGCAAAATAAGGCGAATCCCTTTTTAAGGCCACAAGGACCGAACGTTTTGTCAGCCAATCAGAATTCAGTATTCGATAGAAATAATGAGCGATAAAATCAGTCTGTTTAAAAGGGAATCAACCAATCCCATTCGTCCTTCTTGCGCATTCGGTCCATTTGTTATAAGAAAACCCTCGGAAATTAAGCGTGCTATTAATTTGAACGGTGAGGTGAATTAAGGTGTCTTCTTTCTTATTCCAGAAAGTTTTATCCTAAGTTTGAAGACAAACGAGTCATCCTAAAGATTCTTCGCTCCATTATATTTAACGATATTTGACGACCTTATTGAAAAGATAGGAATAAGTAAAGTACGAGGAAGTATGTATCACAGAATATGTTGGGAAAGTTTTAGTGGGAGTTTTTTGTTGACGAATTTTGTGGATTTCTTCGCTGTAGTAGGTGTTGATTTCGTTGCAGAACCTAATTTTTACGTAACTATTATATATAATACGTATTGTAATATCATTTTGCTTGGCGTTTTTCATAGAGTTGTTTTTCATTTGAACTACTCTTGCTCATATTTTGAGTGTTTTGCTGGCTAACAATTTACCAACTTAGTTTTTCATTAACAAAAACTTGACTTTTCAATGAATGAAGGCTGAATCATATTTTAATAGTCTTGCAAAATGATAAATCCTGTTTAACTTTTTTATTCCTTTTTGGTTATTACTTAATCAATGCATCACAAATTAAGTGTAAAAACAATTTTTCTTTGTGTGAAAAAATGCCTGCTGAGATTTGACAAAAGCTGAATATTTTTGCCAGATGGTTCTTAAAAGGCTCTTAAGGCTCGTAGTAAGCGTCGAATTGGAAGCTAAATCCTTTATTCAAGTGTAAACATTTCGAGAGTGTCATCCCCTTCTCATGGTTAAGCCTTACAAGATGAATGAAGCCTGGTTTTTCGCATTGTTTATACTTCAAAAAATGTTCTCTTACTTGTAAATCTGCTAAATATGTTGCGAATCGATTTTCATCATACCATGATTCGAGCTACTTCAAGGAAATTCAAGTGTCGATGTTTAGAAACCGGCTTGTTTCAGAATCAGATGACCCCAAGGGGTTTTATGTATCTCGGACTCATAAAGCTGTTAGTTATAATAACTAATATCTTTAAATTCCCAGGCCATGTATCGAAGCATTAATGATTAACGCCTGGGGACATTCTAAACATTAGCATTAGAATTAGGTGGGTGATTTTGGTCGAATTGTTTATTTGTGGTGCTTTCAACTGGAAAGTTAAGACTGACTGCGAGGTAAATGAGAAGATAGGATTGGTCAAATTGATAGCACAAAAAAGCACATCAAAGTAGATAATAAATGAGCCAAAAATTAAAAGCCAGTCTCTTGAACGCAACTAATGGTGCGCCTAGGTGTGATAAGAACTCGAAAAAATCATGATCAGTATGTAATTACAAATTTGATTTATGTGTTTTAAAAATTTGTCTTTCGAGTTTGACAGCCGATTTATTTTATGGCTCCTCCAACGAGTTTAAAATGCCAAAATGTCTAAGACCAATCGTTTGAAAAAACTTTTTTTTGTCTCAAAGCTGCTCAATTGCCGAAAATTAAATTTTGTTGAATCATGGCCCTAAACATTAAATTTTCTTGGATGGTGGGAGTTAATTATCATAATCGAAGCTAATTGCTTCCAACTGAGATAAGTGTTCAAGCTATTGTAAATATGTATCGTTCTTTTACAATAGCACAATTGAGAGCGAGAATAATCAACCAATGTGTTTGGCTTTGTGGAAGGTGTCCAATAGCATACAGTTGAGAAGAAATACTTCGTGTTTGATTGAAATAGAGTTTATGGCTGTCCAAAAATCAAAAATTAGAAGTCTTCAAATTATAACCAGTGGCTTTTGGTTTCCTCGAAAATCTTAGATCTAAATTTAATCCGAAGTTTGGGCGCGGGGTCTTCAACTAGGGATAAATCTGTCAGAAGAGTTAAGTCTTTTAATTTCTCCTATTTAGCTGCAAATTAAACCCGGCAATTTTCCAGGGAGCGGATTTTATTCGTGGATAAAGTTGAGTGAAAACAACCGTATTTTACAGTGGCGTGGGCTAAAGACAACTGTTCAGTACATTTTGGACCATGTTTCCATGTTTAATTTTTAAAAGCCTAATTAGAAGCAAATTTGAGCCCAACTGGAAAATGTTTGTACCGTTATAACATTTCACGCAGCTTGTCAAATTGTCTTAACTTGGTAATGTTTTCACCTGAACGTAGATTTGTTTTCGCTTATGTAGTAAATGTTTTGGCTCTTGCATACTGCTTTGTATTAAAAACACGCAGAGAAATGTTACAATTGTACCGTGAAAACTAACGGATTTTGAAAGATATCGAAGTCAATTTAGGCAACTAAAATTGATCTCATTGACTAACATTTTACTATAATAAGTAACCAGAAATTTTTATAACAAAAAACATCTAGATTCAATTTCCAATGTAACGACGAGCTAAGCGAATGATCATTCATTGTTCCGACTATTGAAAATGGAGAGGAACTTTTGTATTCGGGTGTGTTTAAGTTATTTCTTTTTTGTTTTTCATACAAAATCAGGTACCACAAATAATCATCGGAATGAGTCGAGTGATGTATCTATCATATTGAAGCTCTGTCAGTCGCGATTGGAAAGACATAAAAATTTTGAAAATTTGCCTGTGTCGAAAAAAAACTAATTTAAAGTTGTTTAATTCTGAGCGAGTAAATGGAGCGAGCAGGCTTATTAGAAAAGCATAAGCCGTGAAACTTAAGTTTTACTCCATTAAAAATTTAAACTTTTAGCGCCATCTTGGGAATGAAAAGTTTTCTGCGAAATTGAAAAAAAAATACATTGGTTGAACGTAGTGAGTACTCTTAGATAGGTTTTGGTGTTTGTTTTTGTTTTATTTTTCCGGAAAAAGTCTTAAAAATTGTTCAAGCTCAACTTTGATTTTTCGCGGTTTGACTTGTGATTTCTTAAGTTCAGTGCATTCTAATTGTTGAAAGGAAGGAAAACTCCGCTTTTAAACAGCAAAAGTGTAAAGGTCACGAAAAACGTAATTGACTCCTTATTTCGAAAATGAAATTAATTATCAGATTTCCCAGCGAATAAAACGTTTACCTATTGATCCAGTTTTCTCAAATTGGGTTAATTTTAACGAAAAAGTTTCCATCATAATTTGTTCAAAGAGTTTTAAGGTCATCTATATTCTTGGAAATTTAAAAGTTGAAGGGTTTTGAAGAAAAAAAAACATGTCAGTTTTTTTCAGCTTCCTTGCGTTCATTACTCTTTTCCAACTGTCAGTTGTCTATGTTTGACTTTTATGTTTTTTTTCTCTCATTTTTTGACATCAACTGTTGTCCAATTTGCCTATTTTACGATGGATGTCGAATATCTTAAAATTCTAGGCTTTCTTACTGATCCTTTTTTGTTCGAACCACGTGCAAAAAAAATGGTACTATTTTGAAAAAAGTTTTTTTTTTAGTTTGTTTAGAGTAAGGTCGGAACATTCTATACTATTTCTTGCACAGCAAGCTGAAATTACTTTGGAGACTTTGGTTGATCAAGGAGACTTTGATTCATTTGCAGCTGAAAGTTTAATAGTTGTGCTTTCTGCTATTCACCGATGATCTATCGAAGGTTATCTAGCCTGTCTAAGGGTATTTCACCACTTTTCCAGACTAAGTTAGTTTTGTTGAGCGAAGCTCATTTTGTTTCGACTTAGGGCTCTTTGTTTCGTCTCTAACTTTCACGTGCTACCACAATGGCAGCCGAAATCGTTCCAGCTGTGGTAGACCTTATACGAGTTTGTTTTTGGAAAATTCAAAATACAGTGACCTTGTCATAAAATACACGCGTTTGAGGGTAAAAATTAATCAAATATTTGACTGTTACCAAAAAAGTTGCTTCGTTTTAGACGACGAGTCTCTGACGATAGTAACTGAACACGCGGAACTGGGCCCCCTATTATGTCTACTCCAACAGGGACATGTAAACAGCGTGTCCACACTTATTCACATGGCACGAGGCGTGGCTTGTGGAATGAGATACCTTGAAGAGGAGGGCTACATCCACAAAGTGCTCAAGACGGGTAATATTCTTGTGAGTCAGAATCTGGTGTGTAAGATCTCGGGCTTCTCCCAACGAGCCAAGATCGAAAGTCAGGATCCCAGTTCAGGGCTCATGGTTAGTTCGTGTTCTTCTTACTGCTTTTAGTTTATAGACCTGAACAAAAAGATGGGTAATACTTTGATAGTATTGCTCTTTTTAGTGAATCTGCACATGATGGTTGCAGTTTCTGAAAGTTATTCCATTTTTAAAAAATTAGTTGACACTTCTGACAAGGAGAAATATTGTTTGATTAAAGAAAAAATTTCAGCTACAAAAACGAACTTAGCTGGAATTTTTTTTGTTCGCGAGAGTGGACGGGGGGTAAAACAGAGCCTTAAACCGTACTCGTAACGATTTGTATTCATTGCCGTTGTCGTTTGTTATTCAGATCCCGGAAGACGTGGTGCCGTGGACTGCTCCAGAGGTGCTCCTGTTCCAACAGTTCTCGTGGGCCTCGGATGTATGGTCTTTCGGAGTGGTACTCTGGGAGATGTTGTCCCAAGGAGGAATGCCATACTACGACCAGGAAATACCAACCACTCAGGTACACGACACAAAAAGAAGATTTTTAATGTCAATCATGTGGTGTTTAAGTTAATTTGCAATTTTAATCGCGTTATTTGTCTGTGATCTGCAGATTTTCAGGCTCTCGAAATTGTTTGTTTTTGCTCCTTCTAAAAATCAATTTAGCTCTCAGGGAAAGGCAAAAAATGAAAAGTTTCAGAAATACAAGAAAAAAGGATAAGCATTTTTAAAATGAAACTTTCTGGATGTTGTACTTTCTGTGAGTGTTGGGAGATTTTGTTGAAAAAATTCCTGTTTGCCTCGAAGGAATTTAATATTGCTCAACCCTATAATTAGCAGGCGAAAAGTTCCCTCCATGTGATAAAAAAGGGTTTTTGATAAGAGTGTTCAACTTTTATTTTAAGTTTTTACAGTTGATTTTGGTCTGTTGATTTTGATCTGATTATTCAGAAACATCAATATCGAAATTAGCGAGTGAAATTGAATTGTCAAATCAATTCGTGTTATGGCATCTTAAATCATGAACCATTCGAGCCAGTTATCTGGCGTAAACCAACGGCCCAGGTTTATTTACTGTTTCTGTTGAAATATCTATCAGTTAAATAAACTCATAAAATTGTTCGAATCAAAAGTCAAGATGTAAACTTTGGGGTGGAAAGTTTGCATAGGTGGCCCAAATCCAAACTTAATCTGTCTTAAGTCACCAAGAAATACACACTTGGTTTTGGATTGGTTTGTCCTATCTTTAAAAGGTCATCAATGTACATATTTCAACTATTGAGGGTGCGCTGCGATTCTTTTATCTGTAAATCTATATTTAGTTTTATTATTATGTAAATGTTTGGTGAGAGGCGGATTAAATTTTTATGAAAGACAATCAAGATTCAGAAATTTATTAAATGAAATATCAATGTTTTGTGTTCTCTTGTTCACATACCTGTTACAAATTAAGAATTTTGTGAGTACTCTCACACAGTCGTGTCTTCAAATTCAGCCTGTTTCCTTGTTTGATGTTGTGAATTTTCGAATGATAACTTCATCGATTTTATCTTTTTGATGTGACTGATTTAATGAACTTAAAGCTTTGTTTTCAAGTTGTAGAATTAAGTTAACATTTTCTGAAAGCTACATCTGACTATCCATTCGATTTTTGATTCTCTAATCGAATGAAATTGTTACAGCGAAATTGATGATCTTAAGGGTTTGAACCAGATTCGTGTCATCGCTTTTTAAAACCGCTTTTCGCTATCGTCGCTTTTTAAAAAATCGTTTTCGCAGTTTCGCGCATTTAAGTATACCGCTTATTTGCTTGAGATTTTCCGCAATGTTCAGTATGGAAAGTTTCTTTACAATGAATAAAAGCTGAGAAGAAATATTTTTACGATTTACGAATAGCACAGCGCAATTTTTGTGCCTAGGTTTTTACTGAGACCATTTGAGTGATCAAATTTTTTTTCAAAAAAAAGTTATGTTCAAATACTGATATCGACTCCTAGAGTTTAAGATTTAAATTATTACCTGCGATCATTTTTGGTAAACTTGTGGGATTTAAAAACATACTACTTTTCCGCTTTTTTTTCTGCTTTGGAAAATTGAAAAATCGCTTTCAAAAGTTATTTAGTCTGTGATGGTTTGCTAAAAATGCTGTCTCAGAAGGATTTAATTGATCCATACTTCGCTGATTTTGAAAAAAAAGCGAAATAGTCCTAAAGAAGTCTTAAAGCGAGAAAATTTGAAAAGCAAAGGGATCTTGTTAGCTATTTCCCCCTATGGTACCTTGTAACGAATTCTCTCCCCCCTTCTCCTATTGCAGGGGGGGGGGGGGTTTGTTAAAAAGATCCGAGCAAAGATTTCAAACCCAGTTTTTTCCTCGTTTTTTAATGTTAGAAGTTTAATGTTATTTAATGGTTTTTAATGTTATTTTTTATGTTAGAAGTTAAGTTTATTTTATTGAGAAATTAAGTTATTCGAGGTTATTTACGCACGATAAGCATGTTATACTACGCACGAACTTTTTCTAACCAGAGTGGCAATTATTACTACTACTTTTGGTGGTACTTTTGAAGTAGGTAGCATTGGCATCTTAATAGCATATGCTTTGAAATTTGATTTCTAATAAGTCATTACATTAATGGTTTTTTAAATCATCAAATGAACCAACAAAAATGGTTTGTTTCATACAGCAGTATAATAATAAAGTTTCCACTTATCAAGTTTTCTAAATCAAGGTATTTGCGACATTTTCAAATGCATAATTTATGCACAATTTGTTTTAATACATTCCTATTTAGAATATGCAAAATTAGTATTGCTGCATTTAGTTTATTACATTCCCAGTTAATGCATGGTTAATTTATTTTATGCACAACAGTATGATAATAAAAAAAATTTCATTTCAGAAGTTCTCTGAATCCATGTATTTCGCGAGATTTTTGAAATGCATAACTGATGCACACAATTTGTTTTTAAACCTTCCATTTTATTATATGCGAAGTAATCGCGTGTAAATAGTTTTTCCAACTTTGCGGCTAATTTTTTTAACTACTGTTTAGATCGTGCGTGTGCTTGAGGCTGGTTTCAGACTGCCCCCTCCCCCTCAATGTCCCCAATTGGCATTCGATCTGATGAGTCAGTGCTGGTGTGGTGAGGGTAACAGAAGACCCCACTTCAGTAGTGTAGTCGAAGTACTCGAGACGCTCATGAGGAAACCACTTGACCACTGTGCTGCGCCACAACAAATAGACAACTTTGATCATGCGTCACCATATGCCAATAATCAGTGGTAAGTTACATTCTTTAAAAAAGTTAAAAGATAATTAAGGGATTGAGGCTTGTGGTAGTGAAGCTTGCTACCAATCATAAGGTTGTTGGTTCGAATCTCGCAACTGAGCTATGAAATTTGCGAGGGTAGCTTTAGCAAGTATGCCATAGTTTAGTATTGCTGGAATAATAAATGTAGTTTTTGTTGTTAAAGGAAGATGTAAAGAGTTTTTCAGCCAATGTACTTCACGCTGGTGCAAGTTTTGACCGATTGCTAATGTGAAACAAGAATAGTCGGTTTCTGTGCAGTAGCACAGAATGTTCCGAACACAATCGTTAAAGTGAAAACATTTCATAAATGCGGAAACGTCATTTAGTCTCCAAAAAAACTTAGTTAAAGGGCGGATAAGAAGGGTAAAAAACTGCAAGAATTTGAGATTATCCTTGCATGAAAACAGTGAAAGTTGCCGAATAATTAATTAAGTTCAGTGTTATCAAACTCATGAAAAAGTGAAATTTGGTCTGCGGAAATGTCGGACCATTTTTTCGGCACCGAGACAACTTTTTTGGGTGCAATATTTGCATAGGTGGCAATTTATGGAAACATCTGCATTCCCCGTCAGTTAAATGAGTAACTATAATGTGCAAATGTTTGATGTTTTTGTGGAAGTGTATCTCTTTGCTGTCAGAATTGCGAGATATCAATTCTTAGGTTTTTTGTTTTTTTTTTAATCTCGGTTAAAACAGGACCAGAAGTGATCCAGTGATGAATGCAATATTAATTCAGACCTGATAATATATATTACTCTTTTTGGTGTTTCTTGAATCCCAATCACGGCCTATAGGTCTTTAATATGATACAAATTTGATGGCATACGAGCTTCTTTCTTTGAGGTAGTTCTTTGAGGTAGTAAAATAAGGCGGGAAAAACACTTGATAAGGCATAGTTATGTTCCACCCCTCTAGGTGGGTTGTCGGTACAGAAATGCTTAATCTCGAAAAATCCAACATTAAAGTCTACGATAATTTCGTTTGTATGTATTAATGCATTAATTAAAGGCTCAAAATTGATTGAAAGCTCATTGTGCTTGAGTTTAGGTACAAGGTTAAAGTCAAAACTTAATTTAATTGACGCTGAAACTGACATACAAAAAAAAAACAATTTTTATTTTTGCCTAAATAATTTATTTGAGCTGAATAATGTCAATTATAGATGACTCGGTGTGATGAAGATATCCCGTTAAGCTGGAAATTGTTTTGAGAAATTTCTTCTGTGTCGGAGTTAAGTATGCAACTCCATTGAATTATGGAATGTTCTTATCCAATTGATTATACGTTCATTTCTTGAAGTATGTCTGAAATTCCCGCGATTGCTTTGTTAGAACATTCAATAATCCGCGCAACAAGACCACCTTTTATTAATCCTAAAACAGGAAACAAAAACCACGTTATGGATTAATACTGAATAAGTAGTTGTACCGCGGTCAAAAACTTTAAAATGCGTTTTTTAGCACAACGAAAAATGATTGTCAATTGAAAAAAATTATAACATGACAGCTATTTTAAGTTGCTGAGTTAGATTTTTACTAAAATTTTTTTGATGGCTTTTTTAGATGTTCTATAAGTTTTCGCAAAACAATTGGGATCTAATTAACAATCTCTTCCCCTTCAAGAAAGAAAGGGGGAGATTGTTAAGAAGATTATGTTTGTCGAATTTTTGACCAATCAGAATGCAGTAAAATTAGAATTCTCAATACAAAGCTTTAGTGCTAATTTACTTTATTTTTTGTAGGGGTAGAGGTTCTTTTGTAGACACCATAGGGGAGGGGGGAGGAGAGGTTGTTAAGTAGATCCAACAGTTGAAAGATGTCAGTTTTCTATGGTTCGAATTAATAATTTTGATTATGCGTTAAATCGTTTTTTTTCTTCATTTTGATAACCAATGCAAGCGTGAGCTAATAAGCAGTTCAAATATTTGTGAAAGCGATCCATTCGTAACTGTTTCTCAAAATCCATAGCACTAATCCCACTAAATCGGACAAGTTTACGCAGTCAAAGGTTAAAAAAGGCTAAAAGATACTGCAGGTCAAATGTTTTTTTTTTGTTTCTGAATCTTTATATAGGAGCATTCCTCAGAATGGGAACTTTACTACAGAGCTTCGATGGCAAAAATGAATTCTTGGAAAAGCGCTCAAATGTTATGCGTTATAAATGCCGGTCGCTTTTTTTGTGGTAAAATGGTTTAAAAATTTTGTATGAAGTCAATAAATTTTCAATCATTTTCGATTCTCTGACAATCGAAGTTGATTATAGAAATCTGTCGTTTTTTGGTTATTTCTCATCAGCACTTCCAAATATTCCGTTTGTTTAAATTGATGTAATAATCTCGAAATGTGTTTTTTAAGTTGGATTGTTTATGTTTAGGTTCGGTTCTTCAAACTATGCAATGTATAACACATCTAACAAACAGCCGGGTTTGTTCATGTCCAGCGCATTTCGCGGACACAATAGTCTGACATCCTCCAACCCGAATAACGCCGCCCTCTATCATCAGAACCCATTAGCACTCCAACCTAGCCCGGTTTCCAACTTTTTAGCCCAACTGGGCTTAAATCAATACGAAAATCTACTGCTGATGACAGGAATCCAAACTCTCGAGGACCTGCAAAGACTCTCCAACGAGGACCTCAAAGACATCGGCATCCGGTCATCAAAACATCGAAAGAGAATTGTCCAATCCTGTGTTAGGTTGAGCATTACGGGCGTTAAACAGACAGTTAATTTAGACTACAATTCATCATACCAGTCGTCGTCACTGAACACGAAAAGCTGGAACGGAAGTCAAATGTCGCCTGAAAACCCACGTGAACAGCTAATGAGTCAGTACGTATGAAAAAAAAACACGACGAAGTTTGAAAAATTAATAAACTGCGTGCTAAAAGCTCAAGCGTCTGTCACGTGTGTAGAAAATGACCATTTCGAGTGATGCCGAAATATGATGAAGTTTGTTTGAGAGGTCTGCTGAGATTAGCAGCACTTTTCTGAAATACAAGCTGTTTTTGATTATGAGTTTGGTAGTACTCAAAGTGCAATAGATTTTTTGAAATGAAAATAAAGGACGTTCATAATTAGCTTTAATTTGCTATCAAATTTGTATTTTAAATTCAATTTTTTTTCTATATTTTTGATCTGATCGTGTCTGTAAGTGGGTATCCAGGACTAATACGTAGTTTGTACTACAAGAAACCAGATTGGAAGAGCGTAAGTGTTTAACGGGGAAAACAAAAGTCAACACTTGAAAATCCATATGGGCGATTTTAAAAAAGCAGCACAAATTAGCTCAAAAAGATAGCATTCAAATAATGGAATTCATGAACAGAAAGAACCAAAATAGTTGAATATGAACCTGATGAGCATAGTAGCATGGAGAGCGTTATACTTAAGAAGTAAAAACTAGAAGTCAATGTCTTGGATTACGAAATTCAGCATCAAAAAGCTATTACCCCACTCAAAAGAAGAAATGTTATTCCATGAATTCATTGAAGTTAATGTTCCGGCCATTGAAAATGGGTAGGAACTTAGGATTAGGGTGTTTTAGTTTTTTTTCCACGCAAAATCAGCTACCACAAATAATCATCGGACAGGGTTGAGTGATATATCATATTAAAGCCCTTTAACTTGTGATTCGAACATTAAAAAGTTTCAAAGCAGTTTTCAGTGTCGAGAAAAACCGGTTTGAATTTTTGTCTAATTTCGAGCTAATTAGTAAGATAGTTAGTAATTGCAATAGCTTAGTTTAAGCCGTGAAAACTTAAATTTATTCTGGTAAAGGTAGTTTTTGGAGTTCTTCGCGCAATTTTGGGAATCAAAACTTGAAAATTCAAAAATTTTCTGCATAGTTTGTTTCGTTTTATTAGTCATTTTTTTTTCAAAAACTGTTTTCCAATTGACTTATTTTACTATGACTCTCAAATATGCCTAAGTTCTTTTTTTTTCGTTTAGATTATTTTTATCACATGCAGAAAAAAACGACACCAATTTGAGAAAACATTTTTTTTGTAGTTTTTTAAGACTGGTCGGAACATTCTGTGCTATTTGCACAGTAACCGGATATCGTTGTTATAAATAAGTTTATGTCCATGATAAATGCCGCGGAAAGAATCTGCAACACATAAGCTGCTACTTGCAAGTTTACAAGTTTCTTAAAAATTTTATCTTTTTTCATCTTCATTTTGATTTGCTATGTTACTTCTTAACTTTCTCATATAGAACAAATTGCAGAAGCGCTGAGTTCAGAGGCAGACATGAAGCCTTTCCGCCCCAGATATGTTTTGGGTCGGTCAAATTTAAAAACAGTAATAAATCAGCTATAGGCATCAATCTTGTGAATTTTTAAATATTCCTCACAAGGTGGAAAACAGCAGAAAGCCTCGTTTTCCAGTTACCAGAGTTTTAAATTACACTGGCCATCATCGTTGTATTAATTAATACGAACCTTCTTGTTTTTTTTTTCAACTAACTCGCAAATAAAAGTGTTCATTGAAGGTGATCTCTTATATGGTAATTTCACTGTTGCATTGGAAATTACTTAGCATCTCTTCTCGGCTTTATTGCTGGCGTGTGTTTGTTCGTTATTAGGCGTCCGTGGCTGTGTGGTTACTGCGGTTGACTAATAATATATAGGTCGCAGTAGGTTTTAGGTTCGAATCCGAGACGTAGCCGAATTGTTACTAATTCGAGGCTTATTTGTACTTTTTTCTTTAATTTTGTGTAGAGCTGCTTTGCTGTGTTCTCGCTAGTGTTTGCGATTTAATTTCCTCAAGGTTACTTAAGTTTTTGCTGGTTTTAAACATTCCTTTTTATCTTTTTGCAATCAGTGCTGTGTTGACGTCCATAGGCATGAAAAAGTTGGGAAAATGGAGAAGATTTTGCCAATAATCTTAGAATCTACACAATAATGGGCTGTCTAAATCTGTTTCTGTTACAATAAATAAAATTATTTACAAACAAAAATAAAATAAAATTTACAAAAAATAAAAATTACAAATTACAATGCTTGTTTTGGCAAAAATGTCAGGGTGAACATGAGATGGCGTCGTTTAATAAGCAAAAAGTATTTGTGTCTGTGGGTGTGTATTTAAAGGGATTGGGTATTAATAATGTTTTGATTAGTTGTTTTTTTTGTCAATTTTGTTTTCTCGGCTTAATAAATTTCGGCTTATATTATATTGGCTTATTGCCTTACATTGCGTCGCTTGCTGAGCAAAAAACAAATTTTGTGTTTGTCTGTGTGCATTTAACGAGATGGGGTTTTAACAACTTTTTGTCCGTAAAGATTTCCAATTTGTTTTGTTTTTCTCTTTTTTTTGGGTTAAAAAAGTGTCGTCTTATATCATATCGGCCTACTGGCCTCGTATTGCGTTGTTTGATGAGCGAAAAAACTTTTGTGTGCGTGTGTGTATTGATGTGGATGGGGCTTGAACAATTTTTTATGATTCAATAGAAGTCTTTTTTGAAATGTTTTTGGCTCAAAGGGTTTCTGCTCAGGTATCTTAGGTTTTTTAAAGCTTGGTTAGTTTTCTTGCTATGCTAATTTTATTTTTTTTGTCTTGGTGTTTTTTTTGGAAAACTAGTTTTCGATATTTTTTTTAGTTAGCGGCTGTTTTTTTATATTGTATCGCTCGCTAGTGGTGCTAAGCGAGGCTTCGCCTCTGTGTAGATGCTTAGTAGTACGCTTTTAGCCAGAGATAGCAAACTCAAAAAGAACCTAAAATGAAATTTATTTTCGTTTCTGCGTTTCCTTATGTTTATGTTTGTTCAGGTCCATGTTAAATACCGTCAAAAATCTCCCTGTAGTTTCCTAAATGCTTGCTTAACTTTCTTAAATGTTCTAGTTCCTGTTACAATAAGTCTGTATGTCCTAAATTTTAACAATAAGGCAAGGATAGCACTCAATAGGAAAAAAATCAAAATTTATATTCGGTCAGCGCTGACAATCTTGACAGACCAGTGGTGTCTAAAAAAATTTTTATGTTGCATTGTGATGAAAACGAGAGGATCTTTATCTTGTTTGCTCCGTCTTTTTACGCAGATTTGAATTTAGGACGACAAAAAACCTTGCACGGCTGCTTAATAACTAGATTATTTGGTCACAACATTCTAAACATAAAAGAGCTCAAATTTCCGAATTAAGCAGGTTTCGAATAAGCAAGTTAAGAATATGATTTTAAGTTTGAATGTTATTTTGCTTATCAAACAATTCAGAACTTGCGTTTTGATCATTTTAAGCGATAAAAGTTAAACTTGAAATAAAAACTTTCATTTCAGCTTTAAATTTTCCTCTGTGTTTATTAAATTTTTCCTAAACCTGCAGAAGTTCAAAGGAAAAACCGTGTTAGGTGTGGTGCTTTTTGAAGCAAACGGAACCAAAAAACTATTATGAAAACCACGGAAAACTCGATGTAAACATCATCAAGTTGCATTCAAAAAAGAAAAAGTTGTCTCCAAACCACCAATTCTATCACAGACGCTGTTCTTAACGAACTGGAAACCATCTTGACATGCGGTATCCCTACTAACCCAGCTAATTGTTTGCTGCAAATTCTGTATGATCTGTTTTTCACATCAATAAAATCTTTGTCGAAGATATAGTAAAGTAGATTTATCTGAACGCTATTGCTTCAAATACTCGAATGTTTCTCAAGACAGAAAAGTTTAGAAAAGAACGCCGGCAATGCAATAAAATTAACGAACAAAATACTAGCGAAATAGATTTCAGGGTGAACATGAGATGGCGTCGTTTAATAAGCAAAAAGATTTTGTGTCTGTGGGTGTGTATTTAAAGGGATTGGGTATTAATAATGTTTTGATTAGTTGTTTTTTTTTTGTCAATTTTGTTTTCTCGGCTTAATAAATTTCGGCTTATATTATATTGGCTTATTGCCTTACATTGCGTCGCTTGCTGAGCAAAAAACAAATTTTGTGTTTGTCTGTGTGCATTTAACGAGATGGGGTTTTAACAACTTTTTGTCCGTAAAAATTTCCAATTTGTTTTGTTTTTCTCTTTTTTTGGGTTAAAAAAGTGTCGTCTTATATCATATCGGCCTACTGGCCTCGTATTGCGTTGTTTGATGAGCGAAAAAACTTTTGTGTGCGTGTGTGTATTGATGTGGATGGGGCTTGAACAATTTTTTATGATTCAATAGAAGTCTTTTTTGAAATGTTTTTGGCTCAAAGGGTTTCTGCTCAGGTATCTTAGGTTTTTTAAAGCTTGGTTAGTTTTCTTGTTATGCTAATTTTATTTTTTTTGTCTTGGTGTTTTTTTTGGAAAACTAGTTTTCGATATTTTTTTTAGTTAGCGGCTGTTTTTTTATATTGTATCGCTCGCAAGTGGTGCTAAGCGAGGCTTCGCCTCTGTGTAGATGCTTAGTAGTACGCTTTTAGCCAGAGATAGCAAACTCAAAAAGAACCTAAAATGAAATTTATTTTCGTTTCTGCGTTTCCTTATGTTTATGTTTGTTCAGGTCCATGTTAAATACCGTCAAAAATCTCCCTGTAGTTTCCTAAATGCTTGCTTAACTTTCTTAAATGTTCTAGTTCCTGTTACAATAAGTCTGTATGTCCTAAATTTTAACAATAAGGCAAGGATAGCACTCAATAGGAAAAAAATCAAAATTTATATTCGGTCAGCGCTGACAATCTTGACAGACCAGTGGTGTCTAAAAAAATTTTTATGTTGCATTGTGATGAAAACGAGAGGATCTTTATCTTGTTTGCTCCGTCTTTTTACGCAGATTTGAATTTAGGACGACAAAAAACCTTGCACGGCTGCTTAATAACTAGATTATTTGGTCACAACATTCTAAACATAAAAGAGCTCAAATTTCCGAATTAAGCAGGTTTCGAATAAGCAAGTTAAGAATATGATTTTAAGTTTGAATGTTATTTTGCTTATCAAACAATTCAGAACTTGCGTTTTGATCATTTTAAGCGATAAAAGTTAAACTTGAAATAAAAACTTTCATTTCAGCTTTAAATTTTCCTCTGTGTTTATTAAATTTTTCCTAAACCTGCAGAAGTTCAAAGGAAAAACCGTGTTAGGTGTGGTGCTTTTTGAAGCAAACGGAACCAAAAAACTATTATGAAAACCACGGAAAACTCGATGTAAACATCATCAAGTTG